TATTTTCTTCTTCACTGAAAAAACATTTGAAATTCAATTTCAATATTAATCCACCTGAGCTGTTTTCAAACCCTAAGTGTGAATGTATGATCCTAAAGACAAATAAATTCAATTCCCAAATGTTTGAAATTCATATTTATGTGAGTTTTTAAGCCTATGATTTTAAGGACACGTCAAAGTCATAAAAGACAGAAATTATTTTTTCAGGGGACGGACATCTAATTCTAGAAGGGGGGAGGGGGGCTGTCAAAAATTGTCGAGTCAGATCATGTCTTCATATAAAGAATATATTAATTTCTAGGATGACAAGAGCTTTTAATTTTTTTTCTTCTCTGAAAAATGTTTGAAAAACAAAAACAGGCAGGGGTTGTCCAAACCAAAAGAAAACTTTCCTATTCATTTCCAAGATCGTTCAGTCCCATTCCATCCCCCAACCCCAGCCCCCAGCACACACATACCAAACAGAAATCAAATATTTGTCCCTTTATATTTCTTTAAAAATATGGGATAGAAAATTCTGATTTATATATATATATATATATATATATATATATATATATATATATATATATATATATATATATATATATATATATATATATATATATATATATATTACAAATTATTTGTCTTCTGGGTCAATCAGTTACACCGTGCATTCTAGGGAATCTGAGGTGGATTGAAAATGAATTTCAAACTAGAATTTCAATCCAATGTTTTCTCGGAACAGTACATTGTATGAAATCTTTTCAAGTATAGATAAAATCATTGAGTCTCAACCAAAACGTTTAACTCATAGGAAATTGTAAAACAAGTTCTTCAAAAATTTGTTAGACTCGATGCCTCAACACCTCTCTTGGCGCTGCGGTACCTGTTTGTTCAGTAATATTAAATTGTATATCAGGCCACCTTTAGATGTTTAATAATTAGTTCGCCCTCTACAGGCCCAGTAGTTTTTCTGTGGATCTGTGAATTTTACAAAGAGTGTGTGAGAAAATTCTAGAATTTATATTATTGATAGGTTCCACATACGGTTACCAATTTGGGAGTATTTGAATCGAGTAGTTCTTCAACTGGGAAAAAGGAAAAAATCAGAACCAAAAACAAGAAAAGAAACATTGCTCTTGCAAGCAGTAGCATAAGTACATATATATTATTATAACAGTAACTTGATCCGAAGAGTCGTATCACGTCAAGTTGACAGGCGCGGATCATCAGATCAAACGAGACGCGAAGCGTCGAGTTTGATCTGATGATCCGCGCCTGTCAACGAGACGTGATACGACTCTTCGGATCAAGTTACTGTTATAATGATAAATTTATTATATACCCCTTTCCAACTAGCAAAATATAATAAAAGGAAGCTTTTTGGATCAATTACATAACTATAATTAATTTAATTAAACAATCCATTTTGTAAAGGAACTTTTTGATACGCGAGAATAAAAACGTCATTTATCTGTGTACTACGTCATCAGTTTCAGAGAGGGGTGATATGGATTCAGAAAACCACAGTGTGGTACGTGATCCGGAACGTCGGATCACACCGTCACATGATTGCATAAATTCAACAGTAAAACTGAGTGACAAACAGTTCGGTATATAATAAATGTATTTCCCCTCGACCCCAGCGGTATATTGGATTTGAAAGCAGAGAGCAAACGCTCATAAAATATTGCAATTTTTTTAAGTTCACCCATTTTCAGCTCGATGATATTTTGGAAATTAACCCCTGAAACTTGGAGAGACACTTAAACATCAATATTATAAACATGTAGTTTGAAATACAATTTTGGAAAAAATCATTTTAAGATAAAATTCCTCCTCTTTGTATTCATGGCTATACAGTTAAAAGTTGTCCATTTGATTACATTGTGCCATTTTTTTTTAATTTGCCCAGTAAAATGAATAGGGTTTTAATGCTTCAAAAAAAAGTTAAGACAGAAACTGAGAGAAAAAAAATGAGATTTAACATTTTGATTCTTCATACTTCGTATATTACAATGGAACTGGTCGCAATTTTGAAAAATTTAATAATGAATGCAAAATATTTTTTTTTTGCATTATAATTTTTGTGAAGTTTCATTTCAATTGTCCTCTGAGAGGGCACTTGTGGAAAAATTATAGAAAGGGCACTTGTAACAATGTGTCTCCCCTTTTATGGGGGCACTCTATAACTATTACACAGAGAAGGATTTTCCCCCGAAAAATTGAATCGGGTGTGGGATTTCCGTAGGTGAAATTTTACTCTTGAGTCATTTGCGCGGGGGAAATCCTACTCAAGAGCTTGGGGGGGGGGGGTTCTTAGAGGGGAAAGCCTACGGTACGCTACAACACCCTTTTTTCAAGCCACGTGCACCTGTTTAGATTTCTTGTATATATTTCTTATGCAGTGTACTTTTCCATCAATGAAATATACACCGAAGTACATATTAATAATACAATTCTTAAAATACTTAATCCTACTTTATATGATTACTAGATGAAATCCCGCGCAAGCGCGGGGAATTGAATTTATATCACTACCGACAGAAAAATTCCAATAATATATATTGTAGTTTCTACTGACAGCCTGCAGGCTTATAGCAGGAAGAAATACATTGTTCAAAATCCCGCATGAAGTAGATATGCGACTCCACCCCCCTTTTGTAAAAACTTATTGGCAATTTCATTAATTGACGTTTATTGTGAAACCTGCTTTACTATGTTATGGATATTGTACTTCAGATGCTTTTATTTCATTTCAGTCAAGGATAAAAGCAGCGAATATGCACATTTTACTGATAAATTGATCGTGTTTTTTTTGGGGGGGGGGGGGGTAAAAATTCACAGGTACTTGGGTCTTGGTTTATAAATATGTATGTTATGGATATGTATGTACCTTATTGATATGTAAAAATGTACTTTACCTTTTTCACATATCAATAAGGTAAATGTACTTTACCTTTTTCACATATCAATAAGGTACATACATATATATATAAACCAAGACCCAAGTACCTGTGTAAAAATTAGCTTTTAGCGCCCTATGAATAGGCCGGGGCCGAGTATTTGATACAAAAGACTGTATTCAGAAAAACTGAAGTGTATTGATTAAAGCACAAAATTTTACAGCTTTAATTGTATTTGAACAATACCTTATTCATTAATTTTCTCTTTTCATGTAAGCAAGTTTATTACGAAGTAGAAATTGTACTTCGGTTCGTTGCCACGATGCTCTCAGTGAGGAATATATACACATTTTACCGATAAATTTATTAGGAAAACCTACTACATATATGTAATAGTCTTTCGACATATAAATATATTCACAACTTACATGTATACATAGGAACCGAGGGGGGGGGGGCACGGGGGGCCGTACCCCCCTCCCAATAATTTTGCCGATATATAGATGACTATAGAAAATTTAGCTACTTCTAGCTTGTGCCCCCTCAATAAAAACGTCTGATGACCTGTTTTTTTTTTTTTTTTTTTTTTTTTTTTTTTTTTTTGTGCTTGTCAAGGAATTTTTGGTAGTTAATACTGCCCCCAACTGAAAATGTATGGCTGTGCCCCCCCCCCCCCCCCCAAACTGAAATTGCTTCCTACGGGCCTGTTACAGTGTTATCAGTGATTTACCATTATTTCAATGACCATTCACACATAAGCTTTTTTTATGCCCATGCAGCTATAATCGACTCGTTGTTCCTTTTTACATCGGACTCAATGCTATATGATGTTTTAGAAGCTTCCGTCAATATTAAGATCGGTGAATGACAAAAAGAATTTGCACATTTCCCCTTTTAATCGGTTATCCCAACTTATTTCTTTTATGTCATTTATATAAAGTTTTGATTGAATAATGCAGTGATGACGTTTTATGAAATAAATAAACGATTGCTTGTTGTCAGTTTCATTAAAAATTGCCAGTAACTTAGATCCGCCAACGGGAAAGGCCACCATACTCACGTTTTTGCTATTTCATTGCTGTTTATAGAAAATAAAAGTAGATTTTTAATTTAATGTACGATACATACTATGCGAGTGAAATCTAAAAATAGTTTACGGACATTCTTGTATCTGGTGTGTTCTTAGAGGAGTAAGTAAGAACTCTGGTGCATTAGTTTCGGAGTTTATTTGCAAAATTTATTAATTTATAAGTATAGATTCATACAAACTTAAATATAAACAGTAAAACGCCTTTTCTGTTTGTTAGTACTGGAATTAACAGTTGCAGCTAGCCATTGCAGAAAAAATGACATGTATTTCTTTCTAAAAAGATCCAACTTTAATTATATATCAAACAAAGAAAGGCATCTTATTTCTAAATAATCTGTAAAAGCAAAATACAGCATGGAAAATGTAGCCTTCATACGATTCCGTTCGAGCACGCTGTACAGTGTACATTGAGAAAGTGCGCGAACAGAATTGTGTAAGAGTACCAGACTACAGAGAATGATTTTTACCTTCTAAAGAGATTATAACAATAATGCTGTATTTTGAACGTAATCATATGAATTTGCAAGACATTATTAATTCAAGAAGTCAAAGATGAGAAGAAAGATTCTACCAGCTTGTATATACTACACATACTTAGACAAAATTAATTTCCTTCATGAAATAATTTTTTGGTACAAATCACTAATTTTAATTTTATTATACATTACCATATTTAAAAAAAAAAAAAACATGAACAATTTACATCCATACTTTAATCAACTGTCGTGGATAATTAATGGCATTTATTTTTTCATCTCAAATTCTCAGAAAAGAATGTCACAAAAAATTCATTTCTGCTTTATTTCCGGTATGATAGTGGATACTCTCTACTTCCTTTCTAAACGCTGATATGAGATAAAATACTTAATTGAACGCACATTGCTTAAATGGGGTTAATTAGAGATTACGATCTAACTTTCCGGTATGATTAGTTTGTTGTTAAAGATAAAATAAAGAAGAAAGTCTGCGTCTGACATTAGCTGACCTCTGCACGCTTTGATGTATTCCTATGCCGACAGGTGGCGTTTTGGAACTGCAGGTTGGTGTAATGAGTAGCGACATGATCCGCCTATCAATGCAAGCATCAGATGAAATACACGAGCAGTATTGTGTCTACTACGGACAGAAGGTGATGTTAATTTCATTTCATGTGAGCACAAGGAGCAGTTTTAAAGGAAAACCTCCAAAAACTAACCGAATTCTTTTCCGCTGAGAAAGCAAAGCTGCTTTTTGCTCTGAAATTCTTTCATTTAATCTGGAAAGAAAATAAGTTGGGTTCAAATTTACAAACATTCATTATGACGGATCGCCGATCTCAGTATGAAGGTGTCGACGATTCAGAGGTGATAAATTTTACTATACCCATGGAAGAAACGGGGGAGAAAATGCCTCTTACCCCTCCTAAATCTCCGGCGACCCGGCGGGCACCCCCACCACCAATAATGACAGAAAAGAGTTCCGTTTCGGAACCCCCAAAGGCTACAGTAAGTCCTGGATCCGCTCCCGTAAAACCAGTAATGCAGGCCGCCCCTCAGAGTGCCAAAATAGATGCAGAGGACCGAGACCCCACACGCATGAATGATATTGTAAAGGTAGGCAGCACATACTAGTAATTTGAGGATTTGATGATTAATTACACAAAACGAAAATGCATAATCATAAACTATTAAAGCTAATATGTTGTTGCATTTATTATTCCTGAATAGCAATTCGCCGTCTCAGCACGTTGACCTTGTTGATCAATTTCATGCTTATTGTACACATTTCGCGAGCAAAACATTTATCACATATCTACATGTCAAATTGTTGGCAGGTTCTTGCTGGAAAAAGTACAAATCGAGTGCAAATGGATAATACAGAGGAATAATTAAATTACAACAGCCTCTGGGGAGAAAATCCTCTTTTGAAAAATGTCTCTCTAGCCCACATTGGCACCTCTGGCGATTGGGAATGAATCTTGCTTAGTTTTCTTTTGATATTTCGGGATGAAATACATTGTACAAGTCGCACACGTGCAACATGTTTACAAGCGCAATGTCATTATGAATTACCGCTTATATTCACGTTATAATGCCTTCTGCTTGAGACTAGGGCATTGCTGCTGAGATCGGCTTATATAATACGATCGTTATGAGAAGGTGGTATATTGGATACAGATTCCTATTTTTATTATTGTATCATAGCAAACACCAGGGCTTAGCTGCGGATGTAAGAATTCCAGCAATATCACTTTAAAAATAATGTAAAAACAAAAATAAAGGCAAATTATTTCTTTAAAAAACAAACAGTTCCTCTGAGAATGGATTGTTCCTTTCATAATGTAGTGGTACATTGTATACTGAATACTCTGTCTTGTCTGCTTTTCCACCAAAATAAAAGTGTATTTTTTCTGATTTCATTCATTGGTTAACTCCAGACTATGTTCATAAATAATTACCTCTTACAAATCAGTTTTTTTTTATAATGCTGCGTTTCCTGCCACATGAAGGGGGAGTATTGTTGTAGTTCATGTCCTCATGAATTCTCAAAACTTAATTTCATTTCTTAATTGAATTTTGTAGATTTCCCATGGATTTCATAAAGAAAATTACACTGATTGTAAATATAATATATAATAATATAATCATCGATTTCCAAAAGTAACGATTATCCGAAAGAAGTTGGTCGAATTCAATATTTATAATTGGAAGAGTTGGCTAAGTGAAAAGTATCCCCAAAAATGTAACACCTGACAACAAGCTCCTCTTGCTGAACATTCTCTGAAGCACGACAGTAAATTTTTTAAAAGATTATTGTCGTGGTTCAGCGAAAGTTCAGCAAGAACAGTCCACCAGGACTTCTTTCTTATCTGTTCTTTAAAAATCAACAATAATCAATTTCGCATCGTATTCAACAGCGCATCGTCCCTAGCTAACAGACGTTCCCTACCTCCACCGTTAAAGAGTTCCGTGAAGTTAAGTAATCGAGATATCAAGGACACTATTGGGCAAATAACATAAAACGATTTTTTTTTACTACCGTCAGTACTGTCCATATCAAAGATCTTTTTGTAGTTCATTATGTTAACTGTTCATATGTTGATTTGTTCAATTGCTAAACTCTCATTGTACTAACATACCCCATGTGGGGGCTTTAGTGAAATAAAAAGTTTCAAAGTTTCAATATTGAAATGAATTACTAGTATATCAAAAATTGCATGTGGATTTAACCTGTAGGGATCCATATTGTGCAGGAATAAATTCAAGCTATAAGGTTTCATTTAAATATTTGAACAACTTAATTCTGATATACATGTAGGATTAGGTAAATTACAGCTGACATAACTATGTATATACTTTAACCAATACATGTCGTAAATTTGATTTGTTCATATAGCTCAAATAAACACCATTAGTTGATTGAAGAAAGTCAACTGTTGTTCAATAATGCAAGATGTACATGTATATTCGCGACACCCTTATTCAAGGTCAAGCTCAAGGACAAATGTGTTATGGCCAGGGTGGATTTGGGGAGGGGCAATCTATTCATCTTTCAAGAAAAACAGACTTGTTATCGTTCACATGAACATTGCCTAGCAGAAACACATGACGTACGTGTATCTGCTTCAGTAAATTTACTATGTTAACAGTCCTAATGCAGGATTAGGAATATTTGACTTCTTTCTAATGGCACCTCATTTTTCAATTGCAGGTAGAATTTGAAGATATTTTCGCAGAACCAGTTGGGTCATACAGTTTCGACGCCATCTGGCGACTAAGCTTCCGGGTTTTTACGACAACCAAATTTTGGTGCTACCGAATAATGTCGGTTGTTTGCGCCCTCCCTCTGTCAGTCTGCTGGGGAATTTCCTTTGCTTGTCTGACGTTTGAGCATATCTGGTGTTCCGTACCCACTATGAAGATGTTCAAAATATCGATTCAGCCATTCGTGTTCATGTGGGGCACACTTCTCCGGCTTCTGTTTGAACCGTTCTGCACGTCCCTGAGTTTGATCTTTAGTAACATTCGTATAGCTCTGAAAAAAGAAACTTAAGGACATCGCAGAAAACTTTTACAAATGAAATATTGTTGCATAAGTTTGCACTTATTTCAATTCAGGGATCGGATATATTTTTGTAAAATATAATTTATCAGAATTGCTTATAGATAGTTAAAAGACTGTCATTTTCTTTCGTTTATTTCTTAGTTATCTCTCTTTAAGTGATATTAAATATCAGAAAGTCATGAAGTGGACTCGTTACGGGAAAATACTAATAAACCACCCACTCCAAGCTTGAACAACAGATTTTCTTTCTTGTGCTACCTCTCTCTCTCTCTCTCTCTCTCTCTCTCTCTCTCTCTCTCTCTCCAGTGTATGAAATCATGTGCTTAATCAATCTTTAGTCCTAACTGCCTATAGTATACGGTAGCAGAACTTAATGTATTACGTGTAACAAAGGTTAGATTGCTTCGAAAAAAAGCAAGGAGAGAAAGACTCATCATCAGACATATCTAATGGTAGGCAAGGAGGGAGGGTCGGGGGACCGAAACCCCACCGGATTTTCAGTTCTATATAGCTTACTTTAGAATGGCATTCGACTCCTCTGATGAGTTTCGGACTCCTTCTGTCTTACCAATAAATGAAGTAAAGTGGCTTGCCCATGATTAATGCACATACACAAAATGGGTTTTTCGTGTTTGGACATTTTCTCTGTTTATTTATATTTATATTTTAAAATCTTTTTTTTTTTTTTAAAAAATACAGGATCCGCCCTCACTTCTGTAGTGTAACCAGTAGAAAGGCAATAAATATATAACCAGTTAGATTTTGGTTATAAAGTTATAAAAGTAATTCCTGGACTATATCCGTCGTTTTATCGTAAACGGGGAAGAAAGAATGTTGGCGGTAATAAAGTAGCGGCGCTGTGGGGCCGTAATACAATTCAAACGAGAAAGGTGCCGTATATTCCTTATGGTCTTCCAATATAAAGTCCAAGAACTGGTAAAATCAGGTTTCCGAATTTATTATACACGATGGTAAATAACAGTGAACATGAATTTCAACAAAAGCTTACAAGTCTTAATCGAGTTGGATGTGGCCGGTAGAGCATCGGGCCTCCAAACTGAAGAAAGTATAATGTACATAGCTTTTTGTAAGATTAAGAGTAAACAATGATTGACTTATGACACTAGTTGAGTTGATTGATGGACAGGTGTGTTTCTTTGATAGAATGGACATGAAAGAGGTTATAAAGTAATTGTATAAATAAAGTTATTGATACAGGATTAACAAATCCCGAGGCATTAACACCTAATGAGTAGATTCTTTTGACAGAGTCACCGAGTGTCAGTTGGACTGCCTTAATCCGGCTTCAAAGGAAATGAGATAAATAAGAGTTAAAGACACAATTAATTCGATATTAGTACATAGTAAAAACAGATAAAGAATTTCATAGATAAACGTCCAAATTTAGTATAAAATATTAAAAAGTGATTTTAATTCAAAAATATTAATTTTGCTCGGTGACAATATCCTTCGGCCTCCGGGAAAACACGTCCTCGTGTTTTAGAAAGGAACACCCTCAATAAAATGGTGAGCATTGCTGGCATTGGCACTGTCCGTGGAAGTTGTTGTACAAAGGGTAAGGGTTGGGTCCGTTTTGTCTCTCGTAATCAATAAGGTCTTCTAATCTTTCGATTTCCTGATCTTGGTCGTCGATTTGATTGCGGAGATTTTCGATCTCGTGAATTTGAGAGTCGATTGTGAAACGGAGGGAATTGATCTCTTGAACTTGAGCATAAATTTGAATACGGAGACTGCTGATGTTGGCGTCCTGCGCGTCTGTCTGATCGCGTTGTCTTCTTATATTCTGGTCTGCTGTGTATAGCTGTGTAGACAATTGTAAGATTTCCTCGGTTTGTTTTTTATTCTGGGCAAAAAGCTCTGAATTACGTTCTGCAGCCATTTCATTGTTCTTGTTTGCATTGTTTAATTTTATCTTTAGGTCGATTATTTCCTGCTGTAATTCCGGTTTAGCTTTCTGTAGGATTTGGATGTTTGTTACTAGTTGTGAGACCTTTGCATCACTTTCTTGTTGAACGGATACGAGTTGTTTCTTTGTTGATTCAAAGTTTTGCTCGGTAATCTGAAGTTTATGAAGCAATTCCTTGATCCTGTTATCAGAGTTTTTGAGCTTTTCCTTTGTCTTTGAAATTTCACACCGAAGGGATGAAGCAATGTCCACACATTTATGGAAGGCAGCATGTCTGAGGTTGTAGAAGGGTAATTCTCTTAGATATTGTTTTCTGTCCAGAAAATGTCGAACTCTGTTTGCATCACGCAATTTAGCTGCATTTGACTTTTTAGAAGGAATTTGACAGAATTTGGCGTAATGTCCATGCCTTCTACAGTTAAAACATGTTGATTGAGATGGATTATATCGCAGCCGATTGGAATTTGTTGGCATCCATGTTAGTTGAAAGTGAAAGTCCATTGTGAGGTTTGTTGAATTTTGGGGAAATTAAACTCATGGGTAGAACACGTCGCTGGCGTAGTGAAAGGTACAACACAAAGGGGAACTTCCCGATTCTATCACCAATTATAACCAGTTAGATTTTGGTTATAAAGTTATAAAAGTAATTCCTGGACTATATCCGTCGTTTTATCGTAAACGGGGAAGAAGGAATGTTGGCGGTAGTAAAGTAGCGGCGCTGTGGGGCCGTAATACAATTCAAACGAGAAAGGTGCCGTATATTCCTTATGGTCTTCCAATATAAAGTCCAAGAACTGGTAAAATCAGGTTTCCGAATTTATTATACACGATGGTAAATAACAGTGAACATGAATTTCAACAAAAGCTTACAAGTCTTAATCGAGTTGGATGTGGCCGGTAGAGCATCGGGCCTCCAAACTGAAGAAAGTATAATGTACATAGCTTTTTGTAAGATTAAGAGTAAACAATGATTGACTTATGACACTAGTTGAGTTGATTGATGGACAGGTGTGTTTCTTTGATAGAATGGACATGAAAGAGGTTATAAAGTAATTGTATAAATAAAGTTATTGATACAGGATTAACAAATCCCGAGGCATTAACACCTAATGAGTAGATTCTTTTGACAGAGTCACCGAGTGTCAGTTGGACTGCCTTAATCCGGCTTCAAAGGAAATGAGATAAATAAGAGTTAAAGACACAATTAATTCGATATTAGTACATAGTAAAAACAGATAAAGAATTTCATAGATAAACGTCCAAATTTAGTATAAAATATTAAAAAGTGATTTTAATTCAAAAATATTAATTTTGCTCGGTGACAAATATATGTCGAAGACTGACAGATACCAGTAACTATGATGCTCCTATTTAATCCTTTAGAAATATTAATTTATGTCAAAGTTTAGTTAAGGGTTTGGTTTTGTGTTCATCCAAGTGAAACTCGTACGAAATAAAAATCTCAATATCTTAATAAATACTTCTTGCTTACTCTTGAAAACTGACCTATGACACCTTCCATGGGAAAGCTGTCTTGATATGTATGCAGTTTGATTGTCACTTGCAGTGTCATGCAGCAATAATGTGCATATTACACTTGCAGGACTGCACAGCTACAGGTCTAACAAAACAATAACATGACATTTGTTGTATATGTGCAGATAGTTGAACGTCATGGGTACAACTATTTGTTTCGTTCCTAACAATTCTGTGCGTACTTTTTCCATAACTGTCTGTTTTTCTTCAACTAGGCGTGTCCGCCATGCGAAATCTGGGGGCTGCCATTCCGGTATTGAAACCAATTGACTATTTCTGTAATCTGATGTCTCTAGTACTCCGATTACACAAAGCAATTAGAGAGATATTTCGTAAAACATCTCCAGCTATTAGAATGTTTCGATCTAAATGTTTAATATTGTTTATTATAAAAGTAACATCGATGTTTACGTCATATCAGGGAATGCTCCGTCTTCGATTTTACAATGGACAGATAAATTAATACGCGCCCAGTTTTAGCAGTTCCGACTGAATTCAACGTCTGTTGTTTCTTTTGCAGGTAAGGCTATTAATTACCTTTTATCAAATAAGCATATTAATCCTACAAATGTAGGACAATGTCATATAATATTGAAAAATATTGCACGAAAATTAAGAACTATAATCACTCAGCGTAGTTTATTTCTGAGGTCTGTCATGCGATATTCGGCTAAAGTGAAAGTAGGAGCTGGTAAGTCCATTTGTTGTGTTTATTGTGATTTATGAGACTTATCTCAGAAATACGATATAACTCCTAGTATCAGTAATACATTTTGAGTATGACAACGCCTGCGATCTGATGCACATCAATTTTAAAAAGGTTAAACGTTATACAAAGGATCTGAGAATTTCCACGTGTTTCTTGCAGACCACAATTTGGTAGCGGGCAATATTTAAGGTTCCTCTAATAAATATTACTATGTTTCAAAATACTAAAAGTATTCGTTAATGTATAAAAATATAGTTCAGTCAAAAACATGGTTTCAAATATTATGAGTAGAGTAAAGAACTAAATTTTGTTTTCATTAATGAGCGATTTTTGTGTAAGATCCTTCATTGAGCCTCAGACACACCAAGTTAAATGTCCAATGACGGCTAAGTGAAGTGGCTCTACGTAGTACACATATATGGTAAATCAGATGTGTTATTTGTAGATCAAAATTTTGATATTCAAATTTAATTGCTTTTTTGTTTTACTTTTTGTAAAAGAGATGCAAGTATTATTAATTATTTATATAAATAATTTTCACATAAGTTTGTACTGTATACAAACCATCATTTTGGACTTGGTCCTTCTGATTTGCAGATTAGTGCAGTATATGTAGTTCTCATGGGGAAAAGTAAATTAAACAATAAAAATTTTCAAGGATGTCAACTTAATTTGCTTATTGCTTGATATGTAAATTGTTCAGTGTTCATCAATTTGATAAAGAGTGCAGCAAAATTGAAAAATAGCTTTTTTTTAAAGATGAAAATTGCATAAAGTATTCAATAATAATTAATATTCTCTAGTTGAAATGGTTAAGATTGAAAACTTGAATTTCTGCAGCTGCATTGGTTTTATCAAAAAGGGAGTATAATAAGGGGGTCTTACCTGATCTTAAGTTACCATTGAGCATGCTGAATCAAATGCTACCAAGCATGCATGTTTATTTTTAATTGAATGTTCA